GTGTCTAGTTTTTGCTATGTTCGTAAGCAACCAAGTCTCAAGTTTTTTTCAGAACATTTAGCCTAGATAGGAATACATTTATTAAAAAACAGACATTTTTAGTAGTGACTAGTGGCGTAGTCAGAAACTTAGTGGCCTTAGGGCCATAATTAAGACAGAACCCTTTTTTAACACAGACACGAAATTATAATCTAGGTATATGGTGTATCTATAAAACCCGAGGGGCGTCTATGCACTAAATCCGAACTGGTATAGACGAGATTGGAGGGAAATCGCGGCGTCGCAGCCGTCGCTGCGTTATCACTCCTCCTTATCCTCCTTTATCGAGTTTTACCCCCATCGGGTGCCTCGGGCGGCCCCGTTTGGACCTTATTCGCGTTCCCCGCTAAATTTACTATTATAATTACCCCGTACTTTTTTCCCGGCGGGCTCGCGGCGGCGGATATCGAGTGCGATACGAGCGCCGCCGTCGCGCGCGTTTTTTGCCGTTTTTTTAAAAAATTCGAGGTTTAGCCCCTTTCGGCCGTATCGCCCTCCCCGTTTGGAACTTATTCGCGTTCCCCGCTAAATTTATAGCCGGCGCGGCCCTACTTTTTCACAGATGAGTTCCTCTGCGGACCAGTCGATAGCCGAGAGCGCCGCGTCGTCGCCGTTTCGAAGGTTTTTCTGACTTTTTCGACTAGAGTCGCGTAAAGCAGCGCCTTCACGAGACGTCCGACCTCCCCGTCGAAGAAGTTTATAGTCGGCGTGCGGCCCTACTTTTTCGTAGACGAGTCCCGGAGAGGAGCAGCGTCGCTTAAAGCCGACGGCCCGCGGCTCTGCCGTCGAGTAGGTACCGCTATATACAGGCATATATACATAGGTACGTCTCGACGTTCGATTTTCTTCGCGAACGTCCGAAGTCGGCGGAGACGGTCGTCCGCTCGCCGACGAGGTCGGATTGCCCTCTCAAACGCCCCTTTACGGACGTGGAAACCGCTGTAACGCTCTGGTGGCTCGGTACCTACTATCGTAGTGCTGACAGTAGATAAGTGGCTACCAAGATGTTATAGTTGCAGGTCGCAGACACTTGTTTGATGCTGTAGTCGTGGACCGTGGTAGATAATTGAATAATAAGACAGATGTTATGTATTGTGAATTTTATTATTTCGTTCGATAATTTTCTAAGTCCAAATAATATTGTACAAAGTGACGTGAAAGTGCTTGCTCTAATGGGTGGTAGTACACGTCTGAAAACAGGCCGATTCGGGCTCCCTTATATATGAGGTTCCCCGTACCCCTTGCCTACATATACGATATCTAGACTGTCACGGATGTAATTGGTGTGGTCATCGTTCCAGCCTACGCATTAACGATTGACGCATTACGAAAGTGTGATTATTATTAAAATAATCATTTTACTCTTTTGTATTTTTATTTCGTCGTATTCAGTGTTTCTGTAAATATTACATCCGCCTATTCTTGAACCCTTCATCCTGAGCTATTTAGTGAGCCTTCCTCCTTAGGTTTGAAGGAGGAACCCCAACCCATTTCCATTCTTTATGTCCGACTATACTGGTCTATTGTATAATATAATAACTATGTACTCATGAAATTTGTATTGTTTCTGTAAAGTGTTATATACGCCTATTTTTGAATCCTAATCTTCTTATTACCTGGTTATGCCGACCTATTATATATTATAATGACTATACACTCGTGATTTATGATTTTGGTATTTGTTTCGTAGTAACTGGCTTACTACACCGCCTTCGCCTCTGACGGGGACGGCTACACGGCTTAAGAGTCATAGATTTGACTTTCATAACAGTAGGTGGGTAGGTTAGGCGATAGGACAGGTGACTCGAGGGTCGCGGTTTCGATCCCGTCGTCGGGATTATCGATAAATTGCGGCGGCCGTGATATATCGAATTTATTTTTTCCGCGTTTTTTTTTTCGTCACATTTATCATATTTTACGAAAGAGTTCCGTTTTTTTTCAAAATTCTAGTTTTTGATTCGATAAACTGCGTTATTACATTATATATATCAGTATTTTTATATATTATTATTTGTTTAATAATATTTATTGAGCAAAAAAATATTAAATATATAATAAAGTAGGTAGGTAACTACTTGATATATTAAATTGTAATGAAATTCTGGCAGTTAATAATTAACATTTAATAAATACTTGATTTTACCGTGACCAACGCACCTATATGTTTCTTTTATACTTGAATAGACAATAGACAATAGTACAAATACAATATAACTAACCTACACGTATACTTATTGTAGTACCTACTTGATATATTACAGTTTTTAGGTGATTCCGATTTGGTTAGGTTAAATTGTTAAAATACTGCTACAGATTATAAATACTGTTTACTACAATATTAATAAACTAATAGATCTAATAGATGTGATTAAATTCTGGCAGTTAAATAGTACAACTATATGACTGCTCTATTTGCCGTTTTTTTTTCGAAAATTCGAGTTTTAGCCCCTTTCGGTCGTCTTACCCTCCCCGTTTGAATCTTATTCGCGTTCCCCGCTAAATTTATAGCCGGCGCGCGGCCCTACTTTTTCACAGACGAGTCCCGGGGAGTAGGTACCGTGTATGTATCGCTATATACAGGCATAAATACATGCGTCTCGAGTTTCGATTTTTTTCGCAAATCTCGTGTATTATACGTCCGAGGACTGCGGATCGCCCGGTTTAACGCCCTTTGGCGGACGCGCCATTCGCGTTCGCCATTCGCGGGGACGGCGGCGCGGCTTAAGAGTCATAGATTTGACTCAAGTTTTCATCTCAGTAGGTAGTCTCAGTAGCCACAGTAGTCAGTAGGTCTTTTTAGCGTTTTTTTCGTTCGTCATTTCGCTATCACTTCCGTCTTATCGTATTTAACAAAAATGTTCCCGTTTTTTTTTTAAAAATCGAGTTTTAACTCCTTCACGCACTTCGTACGACCCCGTTAGGATTTCAGCCGTTATTACCGTAATAGACATATATTTTAATATATTAATGTTTGAGTAGGTCGTATAGATCCTACCGTTTGTTTTATGTCTTATTATATTTATTACATTTTCAATTAATCATGTGTAGGTTCTGCGTTATGATTCATGTCCTATGTGAAGTGTGCACGCATATTATATTATAGGTAGGTATTGTGTTATTGTATAGGTATGTGTTTTTGTGTAATTTGTTATACCGCGGTGGTCCTAACCTTATGACACACCAACCGGCTCGAGACCGACGACCAGATCAGATTTTTACTTAATTTTGCGTTTTCGGTGACAGTAATGAACGCTGGCCGCGATTCGACGCAGTCGGATCGCATATCTGATGACGTGACCCGGCCGTCACACATTGTATAAAATATTACCTCCATTAAAAAATGGTTTGGCATGAATTCTGATCTCGACCTACCTCCAAGGTTGACGCCTTGTCCTAATTGGACTGTAAGTGGCAAAATAATTTTCGGTGTTATACGTAAAATTTGAAAAAAAATAATACATTAATACCTCCATAGAAAATGCGCTCAGCACGAATTCCAATGTCGTACTACCTCCAAGGTTGACGCCCAGTCCGACGTCCGAATTAGACTGTTAGTGGCTAAATAATTTTCAGTGTTTTTCAAAAAGATTGAAAAACCAGTAGAACTTCAGATATAAAAATCGCCTCTCCTTTTAATAATATAATAGGTATCGAGTGTTACGCAAAAACGATAACGCTCGAAAATTTTCACTGCCCAAGCGGAAACATCTGAACGCCGTATGAGAATGATGTTTTCACATTCAAAAATTCTGAAATACTATGGTAAAATCGTAGTGTGAATCAAACTAGTCTTACACCTAAAACATGGGCGTCTGCTCACTCGTCAGATCTACGACGTCACTCGGCTATTCATCCACTCTCATAATCTCGTTGTATAATTTTTTTAACTTCGGATTTTTACTTAACAGTTTTTTATTATTTTGACAACATAAATACATAATACACCAATAAACATAAAATCAGTGCAATTAAAAAAATTATCTATTTTGATTTAATTTATCACCATATTGATTAGGGACTTATGAGTCTTTTTATATAGGTCACTCAGATATATTCTTTACTACAGAGTAGTTGTAGTTTAGGTATCAGAATCTGTGATGGGTCATGTCAGCTCAAATGTATATTATCATAATATTATAGTCCAATTATTAAGCCAATTTTCGTAGAAATACCGAGAACAAACAGTTTACAAAAAATCGTTTTGGCGATAATTTTATAACAAAACTCTCTACTGTTTGTTTGTTTACATCACGATGTATATAATATAATATATAATATTATCTACATTGTAGTTTATTTACATATTTTACTAAAATGTTTGTGCCTATCACCAACCAAGTTTTTCAACGGTTTCTGGTACCCTTGATATAATGTAATATTTTCGTTTTGGTGATGAACCGTATTGTTGTACATCTACAACTATGGTAAATATTTAGAGAAAGGTTTGCTTTCGATTTCCTTAAATCGAAGTCACGATTAAAGATATTATACAGGTAGCATATCGCCCTATAATAAACGGCTATTAATTTTTAAATGGATTTCCAAAGCGACTGAAAGTTGTCGACATTTAGAACTAATTGTAGGGCCTACACCTATTTATCTACAATCGGTTCATTGTCCGTTTAGAGCGCTACTTGTTTATTTTTGCTAATCATTTCATGCACTCCTTATCAGATGCCGATGGACAACCAGTATATTCCGTATCTTTAACGTGCTTTAACCGTGTTTACTGTTTATCACTTTAGCGTTGACGCGCCGGGAGCCAACGTGATTGGTCATTCTTCACAAGATAATATCATAGTATCATACTTTAGTAGTTCAGTGTTTTACAAACAGTTACTATATTATTATAAATCTTTGACTGGAATTCGGATTATAAATAATGAGTTAATTTACCTAACGTTACGTTACTTAATCAATAGTATTATTTAGCTAATAACTTACAGTTTACAACTACGATTATGTCGCGGAAAAACACGTCGCAACGAGACAGTGGCCGTAAAAAAGGAAACTACACCATGACGATTCGGATGAAATATCATTGAACCGTAATCTAGATTTGTTTGCAGATTCTGGTTTTGAAGTACCCGAAGATGGTTACAGAGATCTATTTGGTGAGCTTATACCGCCTGATGAGTGTGTCAGTAATGAAGAGGCTAAAAACAAATCGAATAAGAAGACACCAAAAAAAAGGAAACAACCATATGACGATTTTTTTGACACTCCGATAAGACCTAAAAGAGTGTTTATTCATACCCCAAGGTTCATGAGATTAATGAAGGAGGCACAAATAGAATTATATGAAATGATGGGCATAACAAATTCAAATAAGGTTTCAGTTGTATCAACTGAGCCTTAACGTCAGTGGAGTACAACACATACAAGACAGTCCTCAAATAAGTATAAATAATGAGTCCAAGAGAAATAATGGGAATAATGACAATGATAAGAAATCTCAACAAGTTTTTGAAGGTAAATTAAAATGTTTCATTAATAGGTATTAAGTGATTTATTTATTCATAGAACTTATACTAATAGATGGAGCATATATTGCTGATGCTTATGGGTGGTGCGGTGACGGCAAATTGTGTTATAGTGATGTATTATTATAATAAGTAAATTTAATGAAAACTTTGAAATCAGAAACTAGAAAAGTTAGGTACTAGCACAGAATTTATTAAAATATTCATAAAATATGGCAGGTAGGTAGGTATAATATGATAATTATGTATTTATGCTGTTTTTGTTTTTAACTATGCATAATCTGGTAGGGTCTATTACGATCACTTCCCCGCAGTAAGGCATTTGGCTAGCTTATCATTTAATAACGTTATCATAGAGTTAATCTGGGATAACAGTTACATTTTTTCAGATCCTATTAATTTTGAGGATTGTGAATTTGTCATTGAAATTTCAATTCTATTTTATATCTATATTAGTATACTATAAGAATGAATCATGATTTTGGAGACAAATTACATTAACATGTAATAAAAAACCTATGAGATGCCCCAGATAACAATCTTACCTTTAAATTTTATTAGAGGAAAATTCACTCTATTTTTTAAGCTAACAGAGTTAGACGTGATCTGCTAAGTGCAAAATTTGCTGTGTTACGCACTTGTAACAAATGTCACGTCACTCGACGGAGACGACAAATGTCGGTGTAACGTCCTCATAAATTAAGAGAACACTTGTATGTTAAACTCAACATTACTGTGGAGCTGAAAATATCACTTTTGATTTAAAATGTATGTAGTATATGGTCAGTCTTGTAAAAAATACTTTTGGAAAAGTATTAAGATACTAATACTAGTATTCGACTAAAAAAGTATTAAAAATACTATTATAAAAATGTATTTTACGAATACTCACAAAGTATTTGAATACAAATAAAAGTATTTTTTTTTTGATTTTACACTACCTATATACAGTAAAACTTCGATTAACTGTCACTGTCGGGACCGGGGCTATGACGGTTAACGGAAATTTTGCAAAAAAAAACGTGTAAATACATATACATACACACATTTATTATATTTTATATTTATCATATTTTACGTGTGTACTTTAAAAAAAAAAAAAAATACTTTGTAACAAATTATAAACATACATACCACACACATTATAATAAAAAATCTGTCATTTTAGTTTGTTTTTTTGATTCTCTAGCTTTTTTAGCAGCAATATTACGTATTTGACGTAGAAGTAAGACTTGCGTAGCATTTTGTAGCACTTGATAATTACTGTGTTGGGCAACGAGTTTATCGCGATCGTCTAATTATTTTTTTTTTCGGCGGTGACCGATGACGGATAACAGAGAGTGACGGTTAATCGAAGTTCTACTGTATCTAATATAATATATATATTATACATCAGTATAGGTACCTATTATGTTACTACTTACCATAGATTTTAACAATTACTATTAACATGTCTGTCATCTGACTATTAAAAGATAATTACATGTTCACATATTTCATTCTGCATTTAGATATATTTCAACTAATATTGATTACATTTTAACGAAAAAAAATAAAATAAAATGTGGTATTAACTATTAATATGGAACTATTTTAAAATTATTAGATTTTCAGTTTTCTCAAAAAATACCAATACAGAAACTATATACAATTTGATGTGATATATTTTTAATTTTAAACATTGTTATTATCTACTTTTACTATACAAAAACATAATATTAGTTTTCAACAAAAACAATATTATTTTTATTGATGTGAATTTTTTGTGAAAAACTATAAAGTAAAATTAATAAAATGGACTTTATAGTATTTAAATGTTGTTAAAAATACTTTTAAAAAGTATTCAAAATAGGTACATAAAAAAAAAAAAAATTGTATTTAGAATACCATATAAATACTTCAAAAAGTATTTAAATACTTATATTCAAATGATTTATAAGACTGTATATGGTTTTATAAATTCTTTAAATTTGATGAGTATAAATTAAATGTCTTAATGTATATAGTAGATAGTGAAGCAAATGAATAGTGTTATGGTGACTGAAGTGTTAAACATTATTTATTTTAATATTTTTAATTACAAGAAAAATGCATAGTTTTTTTTACAAGATATTTTTATTTAATAAGTATTGCTTAAGTTATATGGAGTTAAAATCTTAATAGTCTAAATTATGCCTTTACTTTAAAATGTTTGATTTATAAAAACAAAGATATAACAATTATGTTCCTAACACACTCAATCATAGGTAACCATGATCAAATGTCTGGTGAATATTAACATATTCATTGTTTTTGCTCTCAATTCCTTCTCGAATATCATTGGTTTCATTTACAGTTGGCTTATAAATATCATTTTTATGCAATCTTTGTTTTCTTGTTGAGTATAAACGCATTTGGCCAGTCATTTTTTTTTGGATATTTAAATTTTCATCAGGATTAAAATAGAGTTTTTTTGTTTTGTTCAACATATTTATAACGTCATCCAATTTTTTATTAAGTAACATGTCTTCCTCCTCACCAACTACATTTGTAGCACATAAACTACGGACAAGCTCTACTTTATTAATTATTTTTCCACTAATGCCAGGTGTACTAGGTGTTGTAAATTCAACAGAAGGCTGAGAAAATATCATCTCCATTAATTCTTCTTGTTCTCCAATAGTATTATCTTCCAAACAAATACTGCTGTCATCAAGAACTTTGTTGAATGATTTTGCACTGGCATGTATGTGTTTACAAGACGAATAATGACAAACTACAATAAAATCACAATTAATTAAAACATGAAGTAAATCCACACCTAATTACAGTTTGCATTAATCTATAACAAACAAACATTGATTATTAATTAAGCCTTACAATCAATAAAACAAATTAGTGAATATTTTTCCATACAGCGCATATAGGTTTTTGATAGCCATAAAACTATAAAACAGACATACTTCAAATCGCTATAACTTGATTTTGAAACTAAGTCTCACCCATTAATTTGATAAACCAATCCTTAATTTGTTTCATCAAAAACTACATGGGAATATTTAATAGTACGGCAATGAGCATACATATTCTTTTGCAACGTAAATGTTGCTACAATTTGGACATTTAATAACGGTGTTCTTCATATTTATTTAAATAATGACAAATTCACAATCCTCAAAACCCTAAATAGGTATTCAGATTATTCTGAATTATTCATATATTTATATTTTGTTTGGGAGGATTTATCGCGGATTAACTCTATGATAACATTATTTTAAAACAGATTTCTATAAAGTAGTGTGGTTTAAAAGTCTGTGGTATAAAACAAAACATTATTAACGCAGTACATACACCCAGTGCCGGATCTAAAAATTATGTAACCAGGGGCACAACATAATATTAGCGTCTCTAAAAGATACCAATACAAAATGCATGTGTCAATTAAAATGTAATAAAAAATTATGAGTTTAAAATTTGAAATTTGCGCCACTATGATTAGAGCCTGGGGCATGGGCCCCGTATCGCTCCCTCTCCTAGTTTTGGTACTGCATATACCTAAAATAACGTTATTTGGTCAAGTGTTACAAGCAAATTTTTAAACTGTGTAACTGGAGGTACGCAGATTTAAAAATTTTGAGAAACTGAAAATTATACAATACAAACTATTAAAGAATAAATTTCTTTGTATCAAAATTAGAAAATTCTGAATCTTACATATATTTATATTTGGTTTAATTCTATGATGATGTTATTATTTGATAAGCCAGCCAAATGCCTTACTGCGGGGAAGCGCTCGTGGTCTATTCCCATGTACAGAGGTGTGGAACAATACAATCAGTGTTACCCACGTTCATTGCAGGAACTACCTTCATGCTCCCTATATTATTATAAAGTCTATGTATTTATTATAAAATAAATCCTTGTCAAATGAATTTCTTAAAGTTAAATTATATTTTGTTATATGTTAGGATTGTGAATGTCTATAGTTGCTGAGTGTTGACCAAAATTATTGATGAGTTTTGACCAGTGGTAAGGCTCGAGTCTCTAGGTCGGGGAGACGTTGAATAATAAAAAAAAAAAAAAATATGAATGGTGAGAAGGGTCTCATGACGCAACAACTTTCAAATTCTTCAAGCATACTGCCCAGAATACCGAGACATTGTCTCAGATTTATTTTCATACTGTATTTAGGTGTTTACTGGAATGACCCGCTATGCCACACACCGATCGCTCACAGTTACGGCTCGCAACTACCACCTAATTTATTCTAAAGATTCTTTAAACTTTAAACTATTTCCACAGCTTTGGAACGAAGTAACGCCCATGCTCAAAATTCGGCCATCTATCTTATTCTGAATAGAGTATAGCTCTATATAAAATTGCATTGAAAAATTTAACTTTGAAGTTTTGGTTTGAATCAATAATAGGATCATCACGATAACATACCGTGATGATATTACGTTTTTTTATAATACCAATTTATGTTTTTTTTTTTTAAAAGTGCTAGAATTTTGAACTCTTTTTTTCGTTAACTCGTTATGTTACAAGTTTACTTTGAAAAAAAAGTAACTTAATTTAGTTTAATGTTAAAATTTTCTAATTTGCGAAAATAAAAAATTCCAGACTCATAATATGGTTTATTAGATAGTTTTTCTTTTTGCTCAAGAAAATTTAGTAAAAACTGGTAAAATTCAAAATAATATATTAAAGTGAAAACCGCATTCAAACATTTTCAATATTCTTTGGACGAAAATGAACTTAATTTAGATACTTTTGAATAAAATTAACTTGAAGTTAACACATTATTCTTAAAAATAACTAACTTATTAAGTTAAAAGTTAATTTGAAAAAATGTAAAGAGTTGATTAACTTAATTTTAAATTGTAACTCGTTAATTCCCACCCTTGGTTATTTAGTTATAATACAGCCGAGTCTTGATAACTAGAATCTCGAGGGAAATGAAAATACATTTCAGTTATCGAGACTCGACTGTAATAAATTAATAGAATTATACAGATAAGAGTTCTATACATTTTAATGATTGAAAATATTGAAACTTGTTCCCATCAATATTAAATAATATATTACATTTTCAACAAAGTTGATCATGATAGGTTTTTAATGTTTATATATAATATATTATATAAATTATTCTAAATGGGTAACCTAGTGTTTTTTTTTTTTTTTAAAGTATGGATCTTTATTTGATTTTTAATGTTTTTAAAGTTTTTTTAACATATTAAGTACTTTTTATATTTATTTCTTATGCTAAAAAATTTTTTTTTATGATTTAGGAGTAGTTGTATTTGTAGATTATAAAATCGAATATGATCGCAAAAGTACTACCATTTCCCAAAAGCTCATTAGTATGGGTGCTAAAGTCGAAAAAACATTCAATCGAAAAGTAAATATTACCTATTATAAGTTATTAATTCTTAAACAATTTTTTTTTTAATTTGTCTTAATTTTTTTTTTAGGTTACTCATGTGATGTTCTGTGATGGCTATCGTAGTACATATAATAAAGCAGTTGAACGTAACATCCCACTGGTTTCAGCAAGGTGGATGGAATACAGCTATAAAGCTAATAAAATGCTGGATCCAGCTACCTATCCGCCTGTAGGTATAGAAAAATACACAAAAACGCCACCAAGGAAAATTAATATTCCAGTAAGTAATTTTCATTGTTTAATTTATGCACCTAGTTAATTTTAAATATCACTACAATATTCATTTTCAACATTTTCAGTAATGCAAGATAAATATTGTATTGCCAAAAAGTCCACCAATGTATCATTATTATTACATAGGTAAATTAAACTTATTAAATTTTATGAATATAACTATCGTCAATGAAAATTAATTTCTCAATGAACGAACTAAAAATGTCCAAGATCATAATATATAAGTTAGAGTTCACGGTCAAGTTCATTTCTTGAAAATTCAATTTATTTATGTCAAGTCCACACAATATGTACACGTTAATTCCCATCACTGAATTTCTATGGTGGGGGGGGGGGGTTGAATTGCACAGATTACATACACGCCACCTGCAGATTGCTAGTTCAAGTGTACAACTATAAGTAAGTTAGTAAACTTACTAAATAGCATAAGCTTTAAAAATTAATACTTTTTTTTGCTGTTGGACAATATTACAATAAAATTTACAAGTTCATTATTTATATTATAATATTAATTATTACCTTTAAGTAAAATTTATTAAATTTATGCATGCTATTTATATGTGCTCACAATAATGGGTAAGATTACTCATTATCCACTAATTGTAATGCACAAAGTGTATATATTTTTTTTTTGATTTTAGACAATGTTTTCCAAGTAAATAATTTGTTTCATGTAACGAGTGCTTCTCGTAAATTATTATCTAAAGATAAATTGCTTTCTTGATATTTAATTTGTTTTCGTTTAATAGGTTTATCGGGTTTTCAATACACATTGTCAATCATTTGATACATTTCGATTTGATTTTTATCTTATTTTAATTATTGACTGCGGAGCGTTACCTGTACTCAGATAGATACAAATAATTAGTGAGTATGTGTTACATCATGGTCGTATTTTGTATGTTTTTATTTCATGTTCGTAATTTTAATAGGGTTAAATATTGTGTTAAATAATGCCCAAAAAAAATTCACCAAAAAATTTACTTACATTGTTGTTACTTAACACTAAAATAGTGAAATCTAACCCAATATTATGTATTGTTCTAAAAAAAACTGTCTTATGTTATACTTGTTTTTGTTAATTACTTGTCGTATTTCATATGTTTTTATTTCATGATCATAATTTTAATAGGTCAAATATCGTGTTGAATAATATGCCCCAAAATAAATCATCAAAATTTAATATGGCATTTTTAAGGTCACTTATGCGGTAAAATGAATTTTTTAAGGACATTTATGGCTATTATTATAGAGCATATTTGTATGGTATTAAGGGCATTTAAATCCGGGCCCTAGTAATGACTAAGTTTAAATTTAAAAATAAATCTATTTTCACTGATTTTCTTAGTTTTTACCAAAATATTATATTGAAAGGATACAAATTTATCTTTATTTTAAAATGTGAACCTGTTTAAAATTTATATTATAACACTTTATAGAGATGCCTAGGTACAAGTAGACATCAATTTATACATATATATATATGACCAATATATTTTATTTAATGTTCACATTATTAAAAACCATTCAGAAAGAATAAAAATTGATTAATTATTATTTCGGATACTAATTTTCTTAGTTAAGTGATTTTTTTCCATTGACATGAAAAATGTCATATGATATGTCATATAATATTATTTTATTGTTAAGGTACACAAATCATATTCAATTGGAAGATGGCTATCTCATCAACAATATTTGATTTCAGATTTGTCTGAACCTGTCAAAGTAAAAATTCTTAATTCTCTTATATTTCATTTATTTATAAATGTTCAAATAAATATTTATAAACATGTATTTTTATTTTTAAGGATTTTCAAATACGTCGTCATAAAATATTTGGTTCGGCGTTGAAATTTAATATATTTGATGATGCTGGTATATACATATCAGATAGCTGTGAATCACCAGCCAAACTCTTAAGACGATTGGTGCAAGCTTGTGGTGGACATTGTACAAGTACTGAATCTATTGCAAATGTAGTGGTTGGTTATACACTACAAATGAACAATAATATTCACGAAAAATGGATTTTAGACTGCATAACCCAAGGGATATTGCTAAATAAATGTCAGTATAACTTAGTTAATTTTAATGAAAAATGATAATGTGACCTAAAATAATTTTCTTATAGACCTATGTGTACGCATAAAATGATTTCCTTTAAACAATTTTTAGTGTGAACTAATTTTTTTTTTATTTCATTAAAACATATAATATAAATATACCAATATAGTAATATAATTATATTATAAAACGTGCTTATTAATTTAATATAGACACTGTGTCGCTTGGAATCGTTTTTCATATTATGTAATGATTTATCATTGAATTCAAATTTAACTTATACCTTACACTGACTCCCTCCTTAATGACAAGATATAGATATACACGAGGCCATATCTGAGGGGGGGTCCAGGGAGTCTGGAGTCTGAAGTGGTAGCTAAAGTAGACTGTAACACAAAATCTCTGATGCCAGCTGAAGAAATCGTTAAAAGAAGATTAGGGAGACATAAATCGAAGAACAATTAGATCCTAATTTTCCTAATCAATTAATTATTGAGAATGATTGGTATTATTTGGGTGACAAATCAACACAATTTTTGTTACACGATAACAGAATTTACGAAACAGAACGAATCATTTGGGATATTTATAACACAGGGAATTATTATGTTTAATAAAATATATGGTATAAAGCTCATAAATAGGCTCATATTGATAAAGTAAATTGGTTTAATTTTTTAAATATGAATAATATTGATAAAAGTATGAATTGTTTTCTACACAAAATAGATAAAATAATACAAAATGCTGCAAGTAATATGTGTTGGTAGGTAACAATAAGGAAAAAGTAACGGACAATAAGGAATTGACACGCACCGAAACGCAAATATACTAAATATTAACCATATATGCTCAATTATAAACTTCTTTCTCTCTATAAGCTATGATTAAAAGGAGATAGGTAGACAAATCTATAAGAACAACAAATTAATATATAATAATACTAGCTGAATTACCCGTCGTTCCTAGGTTTATGTATTGTTGTTTTCTTGGGATTGTTCGAGCATGTATCGTGGACCTCCTATAAAAAATCATGGCAACACAGCTAATGTTCCAAGTTGATCTGATTCAACATCTTGTTCAAGCTTTTTTTGATGGTTTCTGATGAAATTTAATTTTTCAGTTTCTATTTTTGTGTACATATCTAAATATTGGTTGAAAAATGGTCCATAACGAAGCAAATGATTATCTAGTTCTTTTCTAACCAAAAGCAGACACAGTTTTAAGAAATTTTGTAGCTGTTTGACTAATGCTCGTTTAACTTCTAGATAAAGAGAAAATCTAAGGTGAACTTCTTTTTCATGTTCGCCAACAATATATATTTGTAAAAATTAAAGGTTTTCTTGAGTGTTTTGAATCAAACTGCCATACAAATGGTAGACTTGGACTTGAACTTTAAAAAATAACATAAAACTTTCTTCAACAAACATGTTTAGCACCAAACGATGCCATTTGAAAACAACCATTATACTTCCTTGTACGATTAATGAAGTGATCGTGTTCAGGATGATCACCCTCCAGTAAACTGAGTGACTGTTCTGGTGTCTGTAGCAAGGTATCGAGTTTTGTTCCACCTGTATTGCAGCACATGCCAGGTTTTTCGCCTTTCCTTTTGAGAACGTTATAAAATTTACAATTTCCGTTTATAGTGCCAATGTAATTTTTATAATCAATTATAATAATAATAAATTTCCATTTGTGCAATTGATTTTCAGACCGAAGAATGGTTTTCTCGGCATTTTTTTTTTGTATTTAAACCAAATTTAGCATAAAGATTATTATTATAATAAATTTCAAATACATATTGGAACATATTAGCTGTAAACAATTCACATTACCCACCGTGGACAATAGAATTGCCCATATCACAAACGTAATCCTCAGCAGTGGAAAAGTCTTATGCCCATATTATATTGCCAATGACAACCTCTAATCAATAATAATTTAATAATACATATAAATAAATATAGAATAATAATAATAATAATTATGATTAGATATTGTTTGATAGATGGCCCCACTGTTTTATACTTACAACCACTTAATTTCCCCTTTAGGGGTTAAATTTCCAAAAATCTTTTCTTAAAGCATGGTGAAATTATAATATTAATCCATCCTGAAAATTTCAACCAGATTCCCCCCTGTGGTTTGGGCTCTATGTTGATCCCTCAGGAGGACAAATTCCTTCATATATATAGATTATAGATAATATACTGAATTCTATCATTTCTAGACAAAAATCATTCTTTTCTAATAAACAATTTGGGTTTCCTAAGGAAAAATCTATAAGCGATGCCCACTGTTTCCTTAATAAATAATATGTACATGAACGTTTTGATCAGAATAATAAAGTATTAGGTAACTGGATATTTTGAAGGCATTTGACTGTGTGAATAATCAATTATTTCTTAAGAAATTAAATTATGCTGGAATTTGAGGTACCTATTGCATATAATCTAATTAGCTCATATTTAAGTGATGGATAGCAAATAGTCAAAATTAATGATAAACTAAGTCAATCTTTCCCAGTCAAGCATAGTGTTCCACAGGGAACAGTCTTGGGTCCGTTATTTTTTATCCTAAATATAAATGGTTTACTTAATATTAATACAGAAGGAAAAATAATGTTTTTTGCTGATGACACAGTTATTCTTATCCATGTTAAAAATTTAGGAAAAATATAAACTAAAGCCCATATGACTTTGAATTTTACTAAATCATGGTTTAATAACAATCCATTTGAATTAAATCTAAATAAAACAAAACATATTGTTTTTAATATACAAAATATTGATATTGAAAACAATTTAAAAATCTGACAACACTCGACACAGTGCTTAATGGATAATAACCTAAGTTATACGTGCATATGAATAGAAAATGTTAGTTATATAAACTATCTAAGACCTAAGACTATATTGACTCGAGTTTAAAATGGAAAAATCACATAGAATATTTAGTATCATTAAGCCGTACATTATTTTATATTCTTTGTAATCTTAGATCTATACTTGATAAAATACAATTAAGAATAATGTATATCTCACAGAGTTCGATTTTCCCCAGAAGCTGGTCAATCTAGTTTCAATTAGCATCATGGAAACCGTGGTCAAAATAAAAGTCGGAAATGTGAAGTCTGATCCAGTGACAGTAAAATCCGGCCTTAGACAGGGTGATTCAATCTCACCTATTCTCTTCAACCTGGTATTGGAAAAAGTAATAAGAGAAATGGAAATTGAACCCCACGAAGGAATAAAACTCCGGAACTCGACTATTCCATTATTGGCATATGCCGATGATATAGTACTGATGGACGAATCTCAAGATGGAGTTAAACGGCTCTGTGGCAGACTAAATGACGCAGCACAGAAAGTAGGACTACAAATTAATGAACAAAAAACTGAATATATGATTATAGGTAGACAAAATTGGATGGATCAAGTTTTGGAGGTAGATCATTTTAAATTTAAGAGAGTGAATTCTTTCAAATATCTTGGCTCAATTGTGACTGAAAAAAATGATATCACCAAGGAAGTAGCCGCGAGAATCCAAGCGGGAAACAGGAATTATTATGGTTTGGAGAAACTATTAAGTTCTAGATCATTATCAAGAGAGATAAAGAGACGTTTGTATACTAGTCTAATACGGCCAGTGATATTGTACGGATCGGAAATATGGGCACTAAGGAAATCAGATGAGAATAAGTTCTTAATACTAGAAAGGAGAATATTACGAAAGATATTCGGCCCAATAAAAGATAACATCACAGGAGAGTGGAGAAGAAGAAAAAACATAGAGCTACAAGAAATTTTTAATGAAAATAACATAGCAGAGACGATCAAGAAAAAAAGATTGCGGTGGGCAGGACATGCAATCCGAAGCCAGAACTCTTTACTAAGAATGGTTCTAGAACAGAATCCAGTAGGAAAAAGGCCCTTGGGAAGACCAAAATTGAGATGGGAAGATTTAGTTAAGAGGGATATAGAAGACTTAGGAGGCGGAGCAAACTGGAAGGATTTGGCGATGAATAGAGATGCCTGGAGAATTGGTTGTGAGACGGGATGGTCCTAGCGGTCGATTAACCCAAGAAGAAGAAGAAGAAGTATATCTCACTAGATCTAATCAAAATAATAAAGATCTGCCATTTTATAGATAAGATTCATAATACTTGAAATTAAAAATCTTAATTTATTGTCCATCACAAATCAGTTAAAAGTTAGTTTGAAAAAAAATAGCTATAGATATTTAACATTAATTAATTAATAATTAACAATTATTTGGTGTTTGAATCATTCTTTTTTACATTGTCACTCACAGTTTTACATAATGTTTTAATTTTTAAATCTGCTCTCGAAAATGTCTTTATGAGTTAATTTTTTTACTATTCACTGGGTTCCAATGTACTAGAAAAACTCATTAAAAATGGTCTGGCTGGAAAAAAGAAAGTTTATTCAGAAGAAATTAAACAATTTTCTATAACCCTCCAGTATTATTCTCCTAAAGCATAACTATGTAAGAAAAACTTTTAATAAACTACTTCCTCATCCTCGGACGTAGGTGGGATATGATTGTAGATGGTAACCCAGGTTCACTAAGGAATCATTTGAAGCAATTGCTAATGAGGCAAAAAATCGTCCACTTTACTGAAGTTTATTGACAAAATTTGCATAAGACGTTTGAAATATACATTAATATGGGTGCAGAATACTCATAAGAAAATTATGATATATAAATTATGATAATAAATAAGAATTTATTAAGAATAAGAATTCATGAGAATATTTTATCTGAATTTATTGAAAAATATTTGGTATTTATTATATCTTAATCATTATTGAACGGTTCATAATGTATAAATAGTTATTTTGACTTCGTGGATTTTGAATGTACCTATTGGCTATTACGTCATTACGATAATCGCCAACCGTCCGGTCAAAGTTGGTGTAGTTCAAAGTATTTATTGTTTATTTTCGTCATCCACTGGCCGCTGGGATATTTAAAAAAAATATTGTTATCTATATACATTGAAACCTCTATC